CCAGGATGGTCTCGATCTCCTGACCTCGTGATCCGCCCATCTCGGCCTCCCAAAGTGCTGGGATTACAGGCTTGAGCCACCGCGCCCGGCCGAAGACAGTTTCTTTAATCTTTTGGTTGCATCAGAAAGTCCACCTACTCAAATATACATTTAAACTTTGACTTCCTATTACTAACTCAACAAATGGAATATATAGAAAGCAATTTTTAAAATTTAAGATATAGTTATTTTTTCCCATTAAAGAAAATAGTATTTGATATGGTTGTATTAATATATGTCTCAGAAATATGAGTGTTATAATTAGGGAATTACATGTCATTTTAATTATACATATGTAATTATAATTATACATACTTTGACTTATACTGTATATTATGTAATTATACATAATTTTAATTATACATTTGTCATATCATCTAAGAAGTTAGAGATAAAATATCTGCTAGGTCACCTAGTCTATCCTTTTTTTAGGATTCTACCCCAGCGATTTTCTTATCCTAAATATTTATCTCCTAAATATTTATTTTTATTCTTCAAATGAATTAATTAATGAGACTGACCTTTTGTGCTTTTGTGTTCAATGAGCTTTTTTTTTGTTTATAAGTTTTTTGTTTATATGTCGAAATTTATTATGCCTCTTAAAACGTGTAGCAGCTCATGTGATATGATTGTTAATGTATATGTAGAGAAATTAAATTAAATGACTCTCATTTATAAATAAGTTAAGTTTATGAACTGAAGTTGCCTGCAAGATTTTTTCCTGGTGGTACCTGTGATGTCGATAATCAGAATGGCAATCTATAGAAGATTGTTGCTGAGGAAATGTCACCTCTAACACCTTTGGCTTATATTACAACTAGCCCTGCCTATGTTAGAAGTTTGGTTTTCTGCAGTCCTGAACTGATGACACGACTATCAGAATACTATGGTGCAGATAAGGAGGTCAAAGCTATGCTACCCTCACAACCACTAATACAGCATTTAGTCTATACTGGGATTTGACATTGAGGTATTTTGGGCAGATGCTTTTAACTTGAAAATAAATTGAATACATAAGTTAAAGCTTTTCACAAGCAGTGTTAACTTACATGATCAGCACTCTCTTAGAAAATCACCTCAGGGCTGACTGATCTTAGCAATATGTTTGCAGTATTCCCACATGGGTGGATTGTTCTTTTGTACTATTGCTAAGTTAGGAGTAAACATTAATTTCTCTTCTATGGCAGGCAAGGTAAGTGTAAGTATCTATACCTCGGCCTCTCTCTTTTCTGTGTGTGTGTGTGTGTGCACTTTTACATTTATATGTATATAATATACATGTCACATATGTATATGAGAAGCTATTTTTCTTTCCTGTGAATATGTTAGTATATGTATAATGTATATATGTGCATATGTGTATATATGTATTTATATTCAAATTCACAACCATCCCGTGGCAATTTCAGTAAACTGCAGACACATGCCTTAAATTTTGAAGTAGAAAATAAACAGGTGTACTGCTCATGGCATGTACAGTGATAATTACTGAGATAACTCTTTTTTAATCAGAAAAGTCAAATTACTCATCTTCTTGTTAGTAACAGACTTCAAATCACAACAGACATCTACGATTAGAATGTATTCTATTTGGCAGTGTAGGAAGCTGCAATGAAAATGAGGTGAAATAGTCCCTTGACCTTTTTGCAGGACTTGTGAAGGGGTTGGCTTGTTTACTCAGCTACCACACTTAATCCCTTATGGGAGGGAGCACACAAGCAGACAGGTGCAGGAACCAGAGAGAATGAATGCTGGAACTGGAAGGTCTTTCCTGTCTGAGAGGAGCAGGCTCTGTGACAGCCCCACAGCAGCATCCAAGCATATTACAATGCTGTTTAAGCTCTGCCATCCAGAAGGTGGTGTCTGTGAACCCTGGAGACCCAGAAGGCATATGTTACAATGAGTGCCTTTTAGCAGTTGCCATCTGTGGATGGCTAAGTGTTAACTAGTTTAATGGAGGGCCAGGGTGACACCCTTTTACACTCTGCCTTGGTACCTGAGTTATTGTCTGGTATCCAGGAAGAATCAGGTCACATGAACAAATTAGAAGGTGGTGAATGTGGAGGATTTTACTGAGTGGTGGAAGTGGGATGAAGAGCTGGAAAGGAGATGGAATGGGAAGGTGGTCTTCCCCTGGAGTTCAGTCGTCCCCTGCTGAATCCTCTCTGACCATCCCCAGTTGAACCCATCTCTGACCATAGTCTCCAACATCCAGCTGCTGCTTCTCCTCTAAATATGATTAGAACCCAAAGTTATTTTTTCTATATGATTTTATATATTGACTGAAATGCTTTCAGTCTTATAATTCGATATTGTATGTCATAAGGTGTGCACAATATCTGTTGTATATTGAGTCCCTACCAAATATTTGTCAGCTACCTGGACAATGCACAAGGAGGAGGATGAAATATTTGGAAATTAATTATGGCTGTAGCGTGTTGTTTTTCACTGACTGCAAGCTGAGTCCGTGAAGGAGCTTTTTATTTATTTTTCCCTTTGTCTGAGTTTTTTAAAATTTCAAAGTACAATTTCGCTTCATTCTCTGTACACTTGGAAAGACTGTTTAAATCACATTTATGGCTTCAAGCATGCAAGTTCCAAAAGTCTGTCTCATTCACATTATATGTCCAGTGGGCTCTTTAAGAAGCACTAATATATTAATGATCTTTAAATCTGTATACTTCACACCTATTTCCTAGGTTCTTCTCCCATATATTTGATGGCCACTGGACATTTTCCCTTTGATAACCACCTAGGTGTCTTGTCCAAAACTCAAATCATTTTTTTCACTTGAACCTAATATATTTCCTATCTTATTTAATAGTACTGTCACTCATCCAGTTGCCCAAGGCAATTTCTTAGGAATCATATTACATTTTTCTGTCTCCTTCTCAAACATAAGTCTCCTGTTTCTGCTTCTTTCCAATTCAAGTGAGAATGTGTTTTGGCTGTACTATCTCTAGTGTAAATTATGATGATGACAGACTGCTGGTCTTCAGCTCTCCAGTCTGTTCACTGTCCTGCCAATCCTCGACATTTCTATCAATGCCTTTGGACTAAAGACAGATCTGATTCTGCTACTGTTCTACTTAAATTCCTCCTTTTCTCATGTCTCACAGGCTAACAATTAACTTCCTAGAAAAGTCTGTATGTGCTCCATGATTCCATACTTGTCTACTTGTTTAGTCTCATACAAATAACAAAAAAGTGCTGCAAGCATCCTAACTGTATGAAACATACCAAACGAGACATATCCCATCAGACCCTTCACCTTTTACTCAGGTTTTTTCTTT